GGGCGACCCAGCGCCCGGCCCGCAACCTACCGGCCGCTCGCTCCGCCGGCCGCGATCCGCTCCGCCCGCGCGCGCAACGGTCGCTCCGCTGCCGCCGCCCGCCCGGGGGGCGGGAGCCCTGGGGGGCGGGGGGCGGGGGGGCGTGGTCTGCGCGGGGGCGGGGCGGGTGGAAGGCGTGGTCTCTAAGGACGTGGGCGGGTCCAAGACCGAGCCAGAATGCTTGGCCTGTGGGGCGGGGCCTCGGTGACGGGGCGGAGCCGCCGGGGGCGGGGCGGGCCTACGGGGGCGGAGTCTACAGGGTGAGAGACTGGGCGCGCGGCCAGGCTTCCAGGGGACGAGGGTAGAAAGAAATGAGGGGCGGGGCCTCAGCCGGAGGCGGGGCCTGCGCGGCGGATATGGGGGGGCGGAGTCTCCGGGCCCGGGACAAGACTTCCGCTGCCCGCGCGGAGGTGGACGGAGAGTCCGGCGGTGGAATCTTTCCAGATACCCCGCCCAGTCCTCTCTTTTCTGTAAGCCCGGATCCCCTCCCATTCTGGGGCTTTTCCTGCGCCTCCGCCCCGGGCTCCACCTTACACACCTGCCCAGGTCTCCTCCCATCTCCTCGGCCATCCTGCGCCCCCGCCAGGAGTCCCCTCCTGACCCGCCCACCCGAGTCCCTTGCCGTCTCCCCCGCCCCGGTTCCTCCCAGCTCGAGTCTCCTCTCGCGTCCCTGCCCCGGGTCTCCTCCCGACTCCCCCCTTCCCAGCCCGGGTTGCCTCGCGTCCCCCGGGCACCGTATCCGCCGCCCCCCCCAGCCTGGGTTCCCTCCTGACCCACCACCACCCGGGTCCTCTCCCGACTCCCCAGTTCCCCCCTCAGGGGCCCTTCTTGCCTCCTGGGCCCCCTATCCACCCCCGCCAGCCCGGGTTCCCAACTGCGCCCCCGCCTGGGCACCCCTCGCGAGACACCCCACTCTGGCCCCGATTCCTCTCCAGCCCGGTCCCTGAAGGCGACTGGACGCTTCCTCCATGACCCCGCCCAGAGTCTGGGACCCCGCACCCTCTCCAGAGGACCTTGATGTGCATCTAGACTGAATTCCACCTGGAAATAAGGGAGGGGAGCAGATGAGAAGTGTGTTGTCCCCCCAGGAGCACAATCATCCCCTAGTCCTTCCCACAGGTGCGAGAGCCAGGCAGGCTTTGCCCGGTTGCCCTGGAGGTCCCCAGGGGCACTGCTCCAACCCTCCCCTCCTGCCTGAGTCACACAGGAGACCCTCCAGGGTTACCTCTCCCCTGCCTCCTATTGTCTTCTTCCTCAGCAATCAGTGTTTCTTTGGAAATTAGTTTCTCTGTAGTCATAATGACCAGCTAGGGTACTTTGGGGAAACAGTCCCCTGGGCATTTGCCCTACACTCTAAGTGGGGGAAAAAAATCAAGTGCAGGATTCCTGACTAGTTGGGTCCTGGCTTTCAATTACACAGCCAGCTCTCAGACCTGGCCGAAGCCTGCTGGGTTGTCTATTAAATCATCACGACAAATACACTAGCCATCACGCCTCCGGTCCTCTGTTGAATGGAAAAATCAGAGAACTAAGCCACGTTTCATATTCCCTCCAGAGCTCCCAAAACGATAGCAAGGGGGATTTTCCCCCTACAGCATATTGTCAGTACGCGTCTTCCCCTTGTTGCAAATAAACCACCTAGCTGGACAGAGTTATAGAATGTGGAGCTGGCATGGTGGACGCGGGTGGGCCACCAGGAGAGCTGCCACGGGGCCAGAAATGGGGAGCTCTGAGACGCTGGGGGCCCACTGTCTCCACAGCAGCACTGCCGTGGCCTGTGTACCCGGGGAACTCATGTTGCGGCCTTGCCCCCAGTGCAGTGGTGTTGGGGATGAGGCCTCTGGGAGGTGATTGGGTCATGAGGGTGGAGCCCCCACAAATGGGATTCGTGCCTTACGAAAGAGACTCCGGTGAGCTCCCTCGTCCTTCGCCACCGGCTGGCTATGAACCGGTGAAGCTCTCACCAGACACTCAATCTGCCGTTGCCTTGATCTTGGACTTCCAGCCTCAGGAGCTCTGTTGTTGATAAGTGTCCCCCTCACCAGTCTGTAGTATTTTTGTCATAGCAACCCAGGTGGACTGAGACGAGCACCCAAGCCTGCCTCTGCTGTATGTCCAGGGACAGGTGCAGGAGAGCAGATGGGCAGTGTCCCGCCCAGTCACAGGCCTCAGCCCCTTCCGATCGTATCACGTATCCCTCCTGCCTCCTGAGATTCTGTCCTCCCTGCCTTGTCTCAGCTGTGTCTCAGCTGCCGGCTTAAGCCAGGGTCCCTTTTTCATCCTCTCATTTCCTTTCACCAGCGCTGGGGCCCCTGCCCCTTCCGGCTTGCCCTTGACTCCTCCTCTTGTGCCTTGTTTCCCTTTGAAACAGGCCACTCACTGCCTGTCCATCCTCCACGCGCTTGTGTCCTGGACCCTGTGCAGCGCCGTCCCTTCTCCCGTCTCCCTCTCTTCTGAATGTATCACCTGTTTTGTGTGGCTTCAGAAATACTTGTCTCCCCTCTCCATGCCTCCCCACCGCGTTTTCCTGGTTAGGATCTCCTCCTCCTTAGGCCTTGTAGTATTTGTTTCGGTCCCAGGAGGAAATTTGAGAAGAGTCTAACAAAGCCCCAGTTGGTAGGAAAGGCGGAGAGTGAGTGCGGAGCCAGGACCCACGGTGTGGAGGGAACAGGTGCCGCCTCCAGGGCTGAGGGAGCGTGGGGACAACCCAGAGAGACAGGGAGAGAAGGAGCAGCCAGACAGGACCCAGGGGAATGGCTCCACACAGAGAAAGCTGGGAAATAAGCCCCACCCTCGCCCTCCTCCCGCTTTCTCGCCTTCTAGGCTCCTGCTGAGTCCCACCAGTGGAGGCTTCCGGAGCAGGGAGGAGGAGTGGAGAGCCGCCCTGGGAGGTGGGTGGTGCAGCAGGTCTCTCATTGCCTTCGTCTTGCTTCTCCGCACGTGTGTGCCGGGTCCACGCAGGCAGGCAGCACGCCTGGGAGAAGGGAGGGTGCTGATGCAGCAGGGGTGGGGCGGGGGAGCTGCTTCCGTGCTGGCCCATCCCTTCGGGGCACTCAGGACCCCTGGAAGTGGGGGAATGTCATGCTGAGAAGGGGTGGAAAGGGAAACTGAGTCTCTATTTGAGAAGACAGGTCTTATCGATTAAGTTCCCTCTACCAGTCAGGTGCTTTACAAGAGCCTCCGGCCAGGGGTGCCTGGGTGGCTCAGTGGGTTGAGCGTCTGACTCTTAATTTCAGATCAGGTCATGATCTCACAGTTCATGAGTTCGAGCCCCACGTCAGGCTCTCTCCATCTCTGCCTGTTCCTCCCCCACTGTGCTCTCTCTCAAAAGAAATAAATAAGCTTTACAAAAACAGAAAAAAAACAAGAATGTCTGGTCGTGGCCCTGGGACACTGTTCCCACTCCCTGTGAAGCCTGACGCCCACCTGACACGCCGGAAGTGACGTTTGGCCCGTGTCTGGGGGCCCCATGATCCAGTGAAGCTGACTTCAAGTTCATCACAGGCACCCCTACGGCTCCGCCTGGCACACACCTGTGGTCTTCATTCTTTATCTGTGTTTTCTTTTTTTAATGTTTGTTTTTATCTATTTCTGAGAGAGAGTAGAGGAGCAGGGGGAGGGGCAGAGAGAGAGAGAAAGACCGAGAACCCCAAGCCGACTCCACGCCATCAGCACAGAGATCAACGTAGGCCTCGACCCCACAAACTATGATATCATGACCTGAGCCGAAACTGAGTCAGACACTCAACCGACTGAGCCACCCAGCCGCCTCTATTTTTTTAAATTTTTTTTAATGTTTGTTTTTGAGACAGAGAGAGAGCACAAGCAGAGGAGGGGCAGAGAGAGAGGGAGGCACAGAATCCGAAGCGGGCTCCAGGCTCCAAGTTGTCAGCACAGAGCCCAACGTGGGGCTCGAACCCACGAAACGTGAGAGCATGACCTGAGCCAAAGTCGGACACTCAACCGACTGAGCCATCCAGGGGCCTCGCCCCTGTTTTTTTTGAAGTTTAGTTTATTTTTGAGAGAGAGAAAGAGATAGTGCAGAGGAGGAGCAGAGAGAGGAGGGGGGACAGAGGATCCGAAGCAGGCTTATAAATAGCTCCCCCTTTCTCTCTAGGAGTCCGTTTGGGGCGATAAAGCATCTGGTCACCCAGCCTCAGAAATGTCCTCTGAGGAGCGCCCGCCCACAGGCTGTGGTGGCAGCTGCCTTCTGCGCGCTGAGGCCCCGGGGGCGCAAGGGGGGACGTGGGGGGCGCCTGAGTGAGCAGCCAGGCGGGGGCCGGACCGCGGGGCTCTGTGGCAAGCGGGCGCTAGAGGCTGGTTGGCTCCCACGATGGCAGAAGAGGAGAGCTGGTGGGCAGGAGGCTGAGGTGCCCCCCCCCCCCCGCCCCGTGGAGAGCCACGGCCATTTCCGTTCTGTTCCGGGGCCCAGACCCGGCCTGAGCGGAGGCGGGACCCCTCGGCGGGAGGACCCCTCACGCCAATGCGGGTCTCTACGGTAGACGTGTCTCCCGCCTCCAGGGTCGCTCTGTCCCCAAAAGAGGGCTGCCTGGACTTTATGAGAACTGTCCCTTTCAGGATTTGAGCAGACACTGGCTCCAGGCCACCCCAAACCCCGTCCTGCCCTGAGGTTAGAGCCGGGCTGGCATGGAGGGGCCCAGTCCGTAGCACATGCACCAGTGGGTCCGCAGCCCCCGTGGATGTCCCCCTCGCCCCTAAATGTAAAATCGTACAGATGCTACCCGGCAGCTGGCGGGACCCCCCCCCCAAGCAGTCCCCGGCCCTGTGGGTCCTGGGACCCCACGGCTGCCCCCTCAGATGCAAAGCCATCCAGCAGAAGCCGAGCCACACCCCAAAGGACGGCGATGCGATCCGTGGTCCTCGCGGGGACACGGTGGCTGTGTGTGTGACATTCTACGCCTGCTCCCTGCTCTGTGCAGACGTTTTCCAATTTCCCTTGTCATTAAAAAGGGGGGCTTTCCTGCACAAAGCGGCTTCTCAGTCACTAAGAACACTGACCTAGGGAAGGAGGCACAGAGCCCTCCCACCCCCAGCTGGGCAGGCCCAGAGCTCGCTCACACCCTCACACTGATGGTCAATGTCACTGGGGGAGGAGGCCCCAAGGCCACCAGTGCGGGGTTCGCTGTGCTCCTGGAACTCACCTGCCAGTGAGTACGGGGGAGTCGGGACACCGTGGGGCAGTGGGGTGGGGGGGTTCTAGGAGCTGAGTGCTGATCCCCCTTCCCCGGCTGGCCACCAGGCAGCTCACCAGTGAGCATGACTGCCCGCAGCCTGTGGTCTCTGGGGACACGCCCCCTCCCTCCCCCCGCTCCCCACCACCCCCAGCAGGCATGGACTCCGGAGAGGAGGCCTGAGGCTTGTTCCTGGCCAGGCCCGTGGGTGGCTCCCCCTGGGGGCAGGGTGCCTGCCCCCTCCCCACTGGTCTGCTCCTCCCTGCGGTGGGACTTGCTACCTGGGGGGTGGGGGGTGAGCCGCCAGCGTGGTCTCCTGCCAGCAGCGCCCCTCCCCCCCACCGGCCTGCACCTCGCTCACCTTCCTTACTGTCCCCTGGGATGCAGGCAGCGCTGGGTCAACTCAGAGGAGAGGATGTGGCGCTCTGGGTCACCCATCTGGAGCCAGGTGGGCCCATCTACCTCACCTGCTCTGAGAGCAGGAAGGACTAGCTGGAAACCCCACTGCCTTCTCCCACTGTCCCCACACTGTCCCCTCACTGTCCCCCCCACTGTCTCCTGCCACTGTCCCCCATCACTGTCCTCCCTGACTGCCCCCTCAGTGCCCCACACGGCCCCCTCACTGTCCCTTCACTGTCCCCCTCACTGTCCTCCCTCACTGTCCCTTCACTGTCCCCCTCACTGTCCCCCTCACTGCCCCCCTCACCGTCCTGCCCTGCCCACCCCATCCTTCTGTACGTCCGGTCAGTGTGGTCTCTGCTGGTCCTCCCAGTACTCCATGCAGCCCAGTTGCCCCAGCTCCCGGGGGGGTATTCTGTCCTTGACCTAGAAAGGCCTGGCCACATGAGCCCCTCCCTCAGACACACACCTCTGGTGCGGACGTCACCAGGTCAGCTTCCCTGGCTCCCACCCTGCCCCTGACACCTGTTCCCCCCGCTCCCCTGCACCCACCCCCTGAACCCATTCTGCAGGTGGAGACTGAGGCTGGAGCAGGGGAGGTGGCAAGTCAGGACTGGGTGACGGGGCTGGGATTTGATCCCAAAGCCTGACTCGGCCCCTCCCCTCGAGCCCTGGGCCACCGCCCGAGGCCGGCCACACACATTGCCTGGTCCTGTTCACAGTCCCACGGCCTCGTCTTCTGCAGGAGGAAAGCCCATTGTCCTCAACTGGCCCCGTGTGCCTTCCAAGAAGTCACGAGACGGGACGTGGGGGCCTCACAGCCGAAAGCCCTTGGTGCCAGGAGAGACGAGACCGGACCGGGTGCTTGTGGTCAAGTGTCTAGTGGACGGACTCAGCCTGGGCCCGGGGTGCCCTCCCCCTCCCCAGCCCGTGCTCCTCCTGCTTTCCTGTCCTCAGTGGGCCTGCTGGCGAGCCGCCCCGGGGGCTTCTTCCTCACCTGCCAGGGATCAACTCACCCCACACACGCTGCCCGGGGGGAGACGAGGCCCACACACACACCTGTCTCCATCCTGTCATGCTGCACGGGAGTCAAGTTCACGTCTGTCCCACGGCCCCCACCCCGGAGCTCCTGGATAGAAAGGACCACAGCTGGCCATCGGCAGGGTGCACTTCTGATTGCCCCCTGCACTGGGCACATGCTAGGCTTGGGGACACAATGTCCCCAGGCAGGAGAGAGGAGGCTCCAGGAAGTACAGGTGTGGTGGCCCAGCAGGGCCACTTCGGGAACCACACCCAGGAGGCTGGGCAGATCTGTTCCAGAAGAGCCCTTGGCTGTGTGGAGGAGGGGACAACAAAGGGCAGTGGCAGTCATGCACGGAATGGGGACAGTGAATCTGTGGGCCTGCGGTCAGCGGTGTGGGCCAGGGAGGGGTGCGGACCCCAAAACAAGAACCAAGGGGGCGGGCACGACCAGAGAAGGACAGACCCATGTGGAACCCAGAGGGTTTGGGCAGATGAGGGGTCACCAGGGAGATGGACGCGGGTCTCGGGGCCCCCAACCCAGCTCGACTCACACCCGCCCCCACCTGAAATGCTCCGGCTCCAGGCCCCCTCCTGAGGCCCTCCCTGACCTTCCTGGGGGAAAGCCGCCCCTTAACATCCACAAAACCGACCGGCTGCACCTCTGTGTTTTGGAATTCATTACGGTCAGCGCACAGGGGAAATACGTCAAACGAAGCATAATGTTTTTACCCAGAACACATGAAATTAATTAAATAGAGTACATGGCTACTAAATAGAACTTGTATTAATTAGGGATATTGTTACCAAATAGAACATGCAGTAATTAGATAGACCACATCGTTACCGAACAGAACATACACTAATTAACCAGAGCACATTGTTCCTGCATGAAACGTACTTGATTCTTCCTGGGGCTCCAGGGAGGATCGCGCTGGTGGCCAGGGACAGGGAGGCCCCACAGGCAGGCCAGCCTTGGGCAAGTCCACAAAGCAGGAAAGGGGGTCCCCCGCGTGGTGTGAACATCGCCCTCTTGTACAGACTCGACTTTGAAATGTCTCTTCCTATTTGGGGGAGATGTAGCTTAGGAGAGTGTCTGCCTTCCTCGGAAAATGAACATGAAATAAATCAGAAAGCATCATCTCAAAATAGGAAAGCGACAGTGAGTACATTGCAGGCCTCCCCGGCCTCCCCATCCTCCGCCCGCACGTGCCCATTTACAGGTGTGGAGACTGAGCCCAGGAGACAGGTGGCGGCCGTGGACGTAGCCCTGCCCAGTGTCCTTGAGAGTGTGGCACCCCAACCTGGCCTCCAGCCCTCCCTGCGGCCCCTCTTGCCCCCCCTGAGCTGGCTCTGAATGCTGCGGACCCACCGCAGGCCTGCGGTGTCCCCAGAGGAGTAGCCCAGCCGAGCCGTGTGGGCGGAGGAGGGCTGCTGGAGCTGTTAGAGGGGCCACCCGGTCTCGTGTGTGTCCTTCTCCGCCTGAGACCCACGGAGCACCGAGTCTGGGGGCGGGTGGGCGAGCACCGGAGGGCTTGAGCGGGAGACACTGGCCTCTGGAGGGTCAGGCCTCCCTCCCACCTCGGGGGCACAGAGATTGACAGGGTGGCATCGGGGCTCAGGGACCCTGGTGGCAGCACCAGAGACAGAGACAGTGCGGAAGGAGGAAGGAGCCCCCACACCCACCCCAGTGGCTGACAGAGCGGAGCTGAGGGGGCCCTTCCCACGTGCTTCCTGCACTTTCTATGGTGACATCTGGGGTACAGCGTGGGGAACCTGGGGGCACTCCCCTGGTCAGCCGGCCTCAGAAACCAGGCAGGACCAGTATGGCCCCAATATTAAATGGTGAAAAGGAGCAATGTGTCCCCAACACCCCGCCGTCCCGCAGGCCAGAAGAGCCAGGCCCCCGCAGCCGACCGTAGCAGGAGGCGGTCCCCCACCCCCACCCCCAGCCACCCCGCCCTGTCACTCGCTGCAGAGGGCGAGGAGGGTTTGGGAGTTACTGGGGTGAAAGTGTGACCTTTCCCTTCCGCGGGGACCAACTGTCCCAGTGCCTGGGCCTTGCTGGGTTTTGGCGTGGGAACTCCTGCATCCTCGGAACCCCCCAGCCCCAGGTCCCCCCACCTCCGGGCACCTGACGCGCAAGCAGGACGCCCGCCCTCCACACTTGAAGGAAGCCGGAACCTCCTCCTCACCCCCAGTTCTCCTGCCCTTGGTAACACTGCCCCAGCGTGCCACCGACGCGGCTGCCTGAGTGCTGACAGCAGGCCTGGAAGGGGCAGTGCCCTGACGACAGTTCCCAGACGGGAACACACGGTCTCTGTGGCAGGAAAGCCCCCTTCCTCCTCCTGAGAGAACAGAGAACTCTACCAAGCCCTGCCCCAGCCCCACGTGCTCCCGAGGGAAGACCTCAGACACTACGTCACCCCCTTCAGTCCCGCTGTGACAGTTGGGGTTCCAAGGGTCTGCCCCCCGGGCAGCAGGGCGACGCTGGGGCCAGCGCCACAGGAGGGGTGAGGCCTCGTGGGGAGGGCACTGCTGCTCCCTCGCTCAGAATCCACCCACCCAGCCACCCACAGCTCCTCCCAGGAGACCCCCCACCCCCACCCCGCCGCTCCTCCTAGGTCTGGTCCCAAACTGAAGAAAGTTTCCAGTAAAATATCGCCCAGACAAAAATTCCTATAAAACAACAAAACTGCAAAGCAGAGGTAAAGCGATGAGGTCTTTTCCCCCATTTTGTTTAACGTGATAAAACAGACACACGAAATCTGCTGTCTTAACCACTGTTAAATGTCCAGTCCAGTGGCATTAAGCACATTCGTAACACACAGCCAAGCCCACCCTCCATCCCGCAACCCTTCGTCCCGCACAACTGGACCTCCCACCCCACGAACACCGACTCCCTGCCCCTCCCGCCCCTGGCGCCCCCATCCGCTTCCTGTCTCTGCCGCTTCCCTGCGGGAGGCCTCCTGTGAGCGGCCACCCAGCGTTTGTCCCTTGGTGTCTGTCCTAATTCACCGATCCTAACGTGTGCTCAAGATTCATCTGTGTGGTGGCAGGCGGCAGGATTTCTTTCCTTTTTTAAGGCTGAGTATCGTTCCGTCGTGTGGCCGGCCCACGGTGTGTCTATCCGTCCATCGGTCCGCGGACACTGGGTACCTTCCACACTGTCACCATCACGAAAGGTGATGCCGCGAATACAGGTGCATCCGCATCCGCTCTGGTCCCTGCTCCCACTCCTTTGTGGACACACCCGGACGTGGCATTCCTGGAGCATCCGGTAGCTCTGTGTTGAATTTTCTAAGAAGCCTCCACGCTGTTTTCCGCAGTGGCGGCACCAGTTTACATTCCCACCGTAGTGCACAGGCTCCCAGTTTGCCCACAACCCTGCCAACACGTGTTATTTTCCGGGTTTTTTCGAAAGGATCCATCCTTCCAGGTGTGAGGCGGCATATCATTGTGGTTTTGATTTGCGTTTCCCTGATGGTTAACGGGGTTGAGCACCTTTTGGTGCACTGACTGGCCATCTGTATGTCTTCTAGAGCTATGCTTCAGAGGTGACCACACGACAGCAGAATCCCAAAACCGTTTTGTTGCTTATGTCTAGAGACCGTTAATGGTCAACTGTGACCAGATGGGTAATAACAGACACACAAAATTCGTAACTGCTTACACACTTATTCCAGAAAGTACCTTTTCTTGTGTTCGTCTCTGCAAAATCTATAATTAGCTTGTTATGATCCAGATTTCCACATAATTTGTGTTGTATTTTCAATTTGGTGAAACTTTCTTCCGCGGAGGCAGAAGCCACCAGGGCCATCCATAAAATTCTTAGAGCAAATATTTATAGTGGGAAAAGAATCACAGATTTCATGTATTATGTTCAAACATTGCGATGGGGTTGCATATGAAACGTTATCACAGAAAATAGGGCCAGATACTTTAATTTCATTATAGAAATCACCATAACAGCAAGATTTTCAGGGTGCCTGGGTGGCTCGGTTAAACATCCGACTCGATTTTGGTGCAGGTGATGATCTCACAGTTCATGAGTTCAAGCCCCGTGTCAGGCTCTGTGCTGATAGCGTGGAGCCTGCTTGGGATTCTCTTTTTCTCCCTCTCTCTCCCCCTCTCTCTCTCTCTCCTTTCCTCTGTCTCGGCTCCTCCCTGGTTCTCTCTCTCTCAAAATAAACACATTATTTTTTTAAAACTTTAAAATTAAAAAAAAAAAAGCAAGATTTTCACCATACCTTAAAGCAATAGCTAAATTAATGCAGGAGGATTTCTAAAGTTTTTTATTTGTTGTGGAGAAAAGCTATTTTCTCTCCGATTAAAAAAAGGCTTAATTTTTTTTTAACGTTTACTTATTATTGAGAGATAGAGACAGAGCATGAACAAGGGAGGGGCAGAGACAGAGGGAGACACAGAATCCGAAGCAGGCTCCAGGCTCTGAGCCGTCAGCACAGAGCCTGATGTGGGGCTTGAACCCACGAGCCTTGAGATCAGGACCTGAGCCGAGGTCAGATGCTTAACCGGCTGAGCCACCCGGGCGCCCCTGCTTTTTTTTTTTTTAGCAAGCTTTCCTAATATTGTCAGTAGCAACCCACACACCAAGTGGCTGCAAGAGAGCACACGTGAAATCAGTTTCACTTTCCTCCCAAGACCATGATTCCTCTTTGTCTGAGGATGTTCTAGTTCACTTTTCTATGCAGCTTGAGTCTTGTATAAATTAAATCTAATTGTTTTCACAGCATCTAGTTGACATTCTTTTTGCATTTCTGAGGGTGATTATCAGGCCAAATATGATACATGTTTCATCACGATGCTCCATCTTTGGGCAGATGCAGAAAATATCAAATGTCATCCTTGAATTATTCCAAAGCGTATCATCACCGCTGGCATCCTCAAAGCCACGTCTCCCGATAACACACTCGGACTCTGTGCCACAGTTGGCACAGAGAAGGCTTCTGGGTTTTTGGCCAAAATTCTGGCTTGTTTCCCTATTCCTTTACCCGCTGTGATGGCATTGGTATTCCGGTCTTCCCTTGATAAAGTATTAAGTAACGGTAACATTGTGTTGTTTGATTTTTAAAAATTTAGTGGACTCTTCGTAGGTAAAATGAGTCACAACTTCCATATCCAATGTCCACCTTGCTGCCACTGTTCGGCGGAGGTAGGTCACTCCCATTCGGTCTAACCCAGCACGTATGGGGACAGAAGAGGAGTGTGAATGTTCAGTTTGCTCCTTGGCTGCCGTGTGAGGCTGTCACCAATGTTCTGCTAATTTCTGAGAACCTCTGCAAACAATCCCAAATAGAAATAGGAAGAAAAGCCAGGACAAACGGCACCATGGGGAAACTGTGTTCAGGATACGAGAATCCGCGGCATTTCCTCCACCTGAGAAGAATGGTTTGCGAGTCTGTCGGTCTTTTCCACCAGCCTAAGCACTTTCAATGTGGAGAGTAATAAATAAAAGAAGACGGGACCTCTTCTCCCCCCACTGGGGTGGAGCAGGACGCAAAACACTTTCACTCCCATGGTACAGTGGGTACACCAGGAAAAAGATTATTGTACTTTTCTACCAGGTCAGTAGGCAGAACACGCAAGGAAATTTTAATGACCTGAATTCCGGAGAAAGGTGAGCTCTTCCTAGAGAATAGAAAGAATGTGGTGGCAACGTCCATGCAGAAGTCTGGTTCTCACACTGGCAAAAGGAGGAGGGCTGGTGAAGAGAAAAGACACGGTCTTGAATGATAAGCCAGCCCCAGAAGTCTACCCTCTCCCACCCTGACTCAAATTTTGCAAAGAAAGCGATAAGAAAGTGTGGGGAGCAAAGTGAAACCATTTACTCTTCCACATTCTCACGGTGCGGGGATCCCAGGGCCATGCCAGGGGTAAATCCAAGATGAACCACATGGATCTGAAGCTGTAGCGGGACTCCTAGATCGAACTCTGACAATACGGAAAAGGCTGCAGAGGAAGGGAGGGAGAGGGGTGGGGTGCACACAGGTGATCTCAATACAATTAAAGCTGTGTCACAGTTCTGGAGTCAACTTGACTCTTGGAGGAATCTGACTGGTAAGTCCCTCACCCAAACTGACGAAATGGTTCGCGTTTGGGTGAAATAAGAAGAACGGAATAAAAACGAAACATTACACAGCAGTCTCCACCGTTGATTTGTGTCTGGAACGGAATAAAAAAAATTACAAGACATGCGAAGAAGTAGAGAAATCTGACACGTGAAGAGAAAACACAATCAAAACCTGTAGACCCTAGATGTCCAGTAACTGAAATTAGCAGACATATAATGCAAAAAGAATAATACGAATTTGT